GATGTCAATCTCTTCATATCAAAATAATGATTCTAGTATTCTATTATGTTACCTGAAGACAGGAATCTGTTTGAACTCATCGCCAGGTATATTACAGTATTTGCCTTCATAGCAAATAATTCCATATGATTTTTCCAGATGATTTGAGTGGAGTTAGTAACAGTGACTCATTATATCAATTATCCATATCTTTTCTTACCAGGAGTTCCAAAAGCGACGACAATGCTACAGAAACTTGTGTGGAGTCGGCCTGAATAATATGAATGTCATGTAAATCGCAAACTTGAATCCTTAAATCTTTGAATCCTCTATATCAACGCTTCACGAAATATACGTAGATTCACACATTTCAATGCAGATTATAGGCCTGGAATACTTCAGTTATCACTATATTACTATACGTTTTATCCCCTCTCCCTTCATCATACTCATCCTCAATCAGTCCTGGAAGCAAATCTCTTTTACGACCTCAGGTGCAACATAGATTTTGTACAAGTCTCCCCTGAGGAAGAGTTAGTTTTCAATGTTTCCAGCACTTGTTCTGGAAACTGAAAAGTACATGGTAAACATAAGAAAATATTAATCAGGTCCTAACTTTGCATAAAAGACATATATGAAGAAAGGAACACCAATATATCAAAATGAGGTTTATATTTAAAATTGCGATTGATATTTCCTGCACCTGGAAACACAGTATTGTGAAGAGTATGGTTAGTTGTTTTGCTGTAATGTACCAAATGAAGATTATAGTTGGTATTTTTGTTATACTCTTACTTTTCTTCTTTTTGTTTTTATTCTATTTACTCTTGTTTATCTATATGTCAGCATATCTCTTTGTGTCAATCATGCTGCTTTTCTACCAGCTGAAATTATCCACATATCAATGAATTTGTCTGCTCCATCTATATGCTTTTTAGTCATTCAGTACAATCTATCTATGGTAATTCAATGTAATGAATACTTATTCATCTCTCTCTCTCTCTCTCTCTCTCTCTCTCTCCCTCTCTCTCTCATTACTCCTGTAAATAATAACAAGAACAAAAGTTATGCTCATTATCACTGTGATCATCATTATTATTAATTTTATTCATCACTTTGTATTTCGTTCTGCAACTCACTAATTCACTATCACTAAATAAATAATTTTCCATTTTAACTTCTGAAAACGAATATATTTTCATCCTCATTCTCTCTCTGTCTCTCATTATTCCTGTTATTCCATTCATTTATCTAACTGTTTTTTTTTTTTCTTCTTCAATTTAACTTGTGCAAACGACAAGAAGGACGAGAGGGAGGAGAAGAAAAGGATTTTCTGCCAAATGGATGATGATTATATTTCTGATGGATAGAATGCCGACTAAGAAAAGAAAAGAAAAAAAAAAATGAAAACAAATATATGCATATATATATATATATATATATATATATATATATATATATATATATATATATAATATATATATAGAGAGAGAGAGAGAGAGAGAGAGAGAGAGAGAGAGAGAGAGATAGATACGCACACACACACACACACACACACACACACACACACACACACACACACACACACACACACACACACACACACACACACACACACACACACACACACACACATATATATAATATATATATATATATATATATATATATATATATATATATATATATATGTGTGTGTGTGTGTGTGTGTGTGTGTGCGTTGTGTGTGTGTGTGTGTGTGTGCGTATATTTATATTATATGAAGTACTATCATTTTTACATAAATGACATATTAGCGAAGTATAAATAGATCACATCCTACCTCAATAAAATTCATTTAGATATATAGATCTGTACTACATTACCTCGTATACGAATGACTCTGTAATAGTTTAGTGTCCCCTGCAATCCGAAGGCGCAGTGTGGTGGGCCGTTGCCGCAGATTTCATTCCAGACCTCGCGCTGCCGTGTCTGGAATTATGGAAGAAGAAGGAAAGGGAGAGGAGGAGGAGGATACGGAGGAAGAAGAGGAGGACATAACGAAAGAGGAAGAGGATGAGTAGGAGAAGGAAGAGAAGGAGGAGGAAGAGAACGAGGAGGAGAGGAGAGATGGAAATAGAGGAAAAGGGGGAGAAAAGGAGGAGGAGGAGGAGGAGGAAGAGAAAGAAGAGAAAAGGAGGAAGAGGAGAAAAACGATGAAGAAGTAGAGAAGGGAAAGGAAAAATGGGGAGAAAAAGAGGAGGAGGAAAGGAAGAAAGAATAAAAAAAGGAAGAAGGAGAAGGATGAGGGAATAAAAAGGACAAT